AACTCCCAAAGTATAAAGTGAAGTATTTTTTTATATGAAAGTAAAAGAAAAGAATTTCTTTTAGAATATTCATAAATTGTTGTCATGCAATTATTTTAGAATTGTTCTTAGAAGCTTTATGTTTTTCATGCATTTAGAACCATTGCTCGTAATGTATATTTTATTAAAGTTTCGTCCCCTGTCGTTGAGACTCACTGAGTACAATGGATGGTACTGACGTTCTCTATTGGGAACCTACGTTGGTCGGCGGTACAACGTAGGAACCGGTTTTGCAGGCGAGCAGGCTATAGGTTAGGACTTCCCTCTCTTCCAGTACTATTGGTGAGCTCTGCTTTTGTTCGTGGAGTATTCCTTTGAGTCATCTTTATTTAGTTATTTCTTTGTTTACTTGGAGAACTAGCCAGACAATCTCATGTTCTGAGAAGTGCGTCAGTTTATTAGTAGAGGCTTCATAGACATAGTCGATGGGTTAAGATTATGTTGTTCTTGATAATAACTTAGCAGTATTTCAGTGGTTACTACGAATAACGTTTTGGGGATGATTTAATTTAGATATTTAAATTAATCAAAAGTATTTGGCTAAAGTATTGCCTTGTTGCATATAAAGTTTGAAGTTATAATAGATTTAATAAGCACAGATGGTTCGCTCGGTCATGTTTAGTGATCGGGTTCCAGTCACGGCTTGTTCAGAAATGGGTCGTGACAGTGACCACGCTGGGCAGATTGTGATTATTGCCATGTGAGTTGTCCATTTGGTTGATATTATTGGCACATGCCTTGTTAGTGCGGATCTAGATATTGATATTATTAGCACGTGTGTTGTCCGTGCAGAACGTGAGTTGTCCGAGCAGCATGTGGATATAGATACATTCCCCTAGGGTCACCCTCTCATGTTTTCTCTTGATGGTGTACACGTAGATTTTTGGAAACTAATCAGTGATTTGATACGGTTATGGAAATATTGAGGAAAATCTGGCTAGTGTTTTTTACATATTTTTGCGTATCATCTAAACGAGCAATTCCCGTGGTTAATTACCCCATTTAATTGAATATCATCTACACATGATGTAACATTGATTGAGTAGAGTACTTGAGTAATTGTACACGCACACATAGATAGTTCTTTCTATGCCTTATACTTGATCACATTTCTGTACTTGCTGGATTTATGAAACTGTACAAATTATAGCAAGTATCATTTATAATTCTTGCTTCTTTTATCTCACCGAGGTTAGTTATGACACTTGCTAAGAACATTGGGTCGGTTGTATTCATACTACACTCTGCACTTAATTGAGCAGATCCAGGAGTCGGACCAAGTCATTAGTAGCCGAGGCTCGTAGCAGAGTTGATTGCTGAGAGACGATGTAGAACTACATTCTTGACCGTGGTCTTGGCATCTCTTTTCTCATGTACTGTTGTATTTATTTCAGACTGTATTGTACTTGGATTTTTTAGACTTGTATTTCTATATTAGAGCTCATGATTCTGTATTTTCCAGTTCTAGGGATATATCATGTATTGGAACTATTTTGTTATATTGAGGTTTTAAACTTATACTATTCCTGTAAATTTCACTATTTTGGTTCTTTACTGTTATGTCCGGCTTGCCTAGCAAGTATGCTAGGAGCCATCACGAAGGCTTGGAATTTTGGGCCGCGGCAAGTGAATATTAGTGCCCTAGGTTCACAGGTATTATGAGTCATGAGCAAATTCAGTAGAGTCTTGCAAATCAGTATGGAGACATCTGTACTTATCTTTGAGAGGCTGTCGAACCATTAAGAAACTTCACTTTCTTACATTCTTGTCGTGCAGGTTTGTTATTTCCAAAGTTTGAAACTTGACTCTTTTATCTCTCACAGATAGTGAGGACATATGCGATCGATCAGGCGGACGGCTATTAGTACCACCAGTTAGGGCCGCGAAAGGCCGAGTGTGGCTCGTACTACAGCTAGATCAGCACAAGTCGAGCCAGTAGTTGCTAGATATTGTGGAGCCGATGGGACCAACTCTGGCACCAACAGTTCCCATTGTTATCCCTGACCTTCAGGAGGCCTTGGCCAAGATTTTGACTATATGCATGAGCCTCGCTCAAGAGGTTTCTGTTCCAGCTGCACCAGCCACTTCACAGGCTAGGGGGAGGTGTCCAGACTCCTGTCGCCCGTACTCCAGAGCAGCTAGCTCAGGGTCACCAAACGCCGGGTGTATTACCAGTTCAGCCGGTTGCTGCTGCCCGAGCCGAGGTTGGTCCACTTATGAGTGATGAGTAGCAGAAGAGGTTAGAGCAGTTTGGGAGGCAGAAGCCTCCAAAGTTTAGTGGAGTAGATTCAGAGGATGCTCAGGATTTTTTGGATAGGTGCCATTAGATTCTTCGCATAGCGGGTATTTTGAACACCAGTGGGGTTGCATTTACTACTTTTCAGCCGACAGAGGCAGCTTATAAATGGCGGCAAACTTATGAGTTGAGCAGGCCAGCAGACGCAACGCCACTTACATGGCATGAGATCTTATTCACTTCCTAGAGAAGTTTTTCCGACCGACTCGTAGAAAGGAGCTGCGTAGGCAGTTTGAGCAGCTACGCTAGGAGGGCATGAAAGTGACTCACAATGAGATGAGGTTCCGACATTTGGCTCGTCAAACAGTATGGTTAGTCCCCACTGAGAGGGATAAAATTAGGAGGTTTATTGATGGCCTCCACTATAGTTTACATTTCAGTATGGCTCGAGAGGTTGCGACGGATGCTAGGTTTTACCAGGTGGTCGAGATTGCTAGACACTAAGAGTTGGTTCACAAGCAGGAGCATGAGGAGCGGGAGGCCAAGAGGCCTCGTAGTTCAGGTGGTTTCAGCACTGCTTCAGGGAGGCCAGTCCCATTACAGCAGAGGTCGTCCTTCTAGACCCATTCAGGCAGCTCACCATGTTCCTCGTGGTTCTTCAGTTAGCCACAGTTCCTACAGTGCACACCCACCTCATTCATCATTCAGTGCATTGCCGGCGTAGAGTTCTTACCATGCTTCAGCAACATAGGGTTCCACGGGTAGCTATTTAGATTATCAGGGTTCAGCAACTCCATCAGTCAATTTCTCGCTCTGGCGAAAGACCCGGAAGTTCATCAGGAAAAACATCGGGAAACTCATTAACCACAGGGATGGACTGAATAGTTGGTGACTCTACTTCCATATCCCAAACCCGAACTAAGTGATAAATACAACCCTTTTTAATCATCTTCCTTGCCTTGAGATAGGAAATAAATCTAGAACCACTAAATTCTGACTTCATGCCACATCACTCCATATTCCCCCCTTTAGGGGAGTGCTAAGAGTTGGAGCTACCACGATCTACTTATATATGTTTTACCTCTTCATATTTGGCGTCTTTTCACATCATAGATGACCCTTACTCGCCTCGTGCTAATCCTTCTGTACCAAGGATAACAAAGTTCCTTACTCGCGAGGGTGACACTTAGTATAATTGGCACAGACAGTCCCTTAAGCTTACTTTACTCACATTGCTTGCTTTAGGGAAGCGTCTTCCTGAATGACCATTCTCTGAATTTCTCATGAATCTTCTTCTATTGTCCATTCTTTTATCGGCGGAACGAAATATGAAATTATCATGATGTCAACCATTATCAAATCACTCAGTCTCTAATTCATGTTTGGTTTATCTTGTTCACAAGTCCATACTGATTTTTATTACTCTGGGTCTAACTTTTCCTTCTGTTAATCATGTTAGAGTCACGAACTTATTTCTCAAAATGAGGGTGTGACTATATGGCCTATACTCTTTTGTTGTCTTAAGGCCCATCACCTCTCGTCTCTTTCTTTATTTGACTGTAGATTCTATAACACTCTACCATTGTCATCCATGTATCATATCTCACTCATAATGTTTCATTATTCCTCTTCGTACTTCCCTTCTAATATTTCTATCTATCACTTTATTCTGAAAATTTTAACAAGACACCCTTTTGCTTTTAGCTCCCCTTTGCTCCATCCACTGGCTCTTCGGGTTTCCTAGCATTATTTCTCTACTAGGGACGGGAGTCATACTAAGATAATATTTATCCTTTCCAGGCTTCTAGTGCCTATCTTTGTAGCACTCATATCTAGCTGTATTATTTTAGAGTGCACCAACTAGGCGTCTCCCAAGGAGATCCATTACCACATTTGCACTATCCTTCCGAAATGTCAACTAACTCTACCAATCCATCTACTATTTTGGATTACTCTAACCCCAGCCAGATCCTGATATCTCGTCCTTTTCTTAACCTACACCTGCTAGCCCCTAATAGGGTATAACTGAGATGGGTGTGATCAATTATACATACCTCTGTTACTGTTGAGGGTAACTCACAATGCTTATATTTTTCTGTCGGAACTATAATACTGATAATCTTCATTTACTGGGTGCCTCGTACCCTTCTTCTCCTTGCTTCTTTTACTTATTGAAACTTGTGTCTCCCTCCTTATTCCTTTTTTCCGTAAGAGTGGATAGGTATTCTTGCCTTAGGGATCCTTATCAAGAAGCTTACACATCTTAGTATACACATGATTTGCTGAATACCTCATATTCATCCATCATAAGCATGATGCAAAAATTGAGTTCCTCTTACTCAACTCTCCAATAGCTATATCTCTTACCAACCGTCTTTCTAGATGTAGGTATCGTCATACTATAAGTAAAGTAGATTTAGGAAATTGAGTTCTTACAACCGAGCTCTACCACACGATCTACAGTAGGAAGAAAGAGTGATAGTCCTAAATGCCCCATAGCCTCCTGCTTATAAGTATGGTTCACAACACACCCATAAACAAGACTCTACTAGACATGGCTTGTAGACTCCCTAGGACAGAACTGCTCTGATACCACTTTTGTCACGACCCAAACTGATGGGCCGCGACGGGCACCCGTTACCTTACTCAACCGAGTACCAATATAATGTATCTTTTCATGTCATACTATCATGGATTACTGTGCCGGAAGGCTGCCGTGAGATAAGTTGAATACAACATGTGAAACCAACTTATGCATAAGACATACGGGCCTACAAGACCAAAATTACCACTGGTATACTGAATATAGGCCGACAAGGCCATACAATCTTTTACGTACATGACATCTGTCTACAAGCCTCTAAGAATACATTATTATTATAAAGGTCGGGACAGAGTCCCGCCATACCAAATAAAACACGTCTAAACCATGCTAACCAAACAAGCAACTCCGAAGCGAATGGAGCGTACCAACATCTTCCGCTGAGCTGATAGCCTACTTAGAGGGCTCTCGACCTGTCTATCGGGACCTACGGGCATGAAACACAGCATCCCCAAGCAAAAGGGACGTCAGTACAAATAATGTACCAAGTATGTAAGGAATGAAAATCAGTAAATAATAGACATGAGAGAAAGATGGAGTAAAAGACAACGACATGTACATTTGCATAGCTATGTAAATCATTTCATTTTTATAATTTCATACATATACGTATAAATGTCATACTATGCATGGGTACATGTGTTCATAACATCATCAAGCCTCTGAGGGCATCCCATCATATCATCTCGGCCACTGTGGGCAAATCATCAACGTATACCAGCTGATCAGGTGATGGTGCCTATATAACGCCGTAACCTTTTCCCATATATATATATATATATATACATATATATATATATATATATATATATGTATATATATACATATATATATATACGCGTATATAACGCCATCTGGTCATGGGTCAATGTACATGAATGCAATGCATGAGAAGTACGTCAATAAAATCTCTTGGAGTGTCATAAGACCATTATGCCTTTGAATAATATCATGAAGTAAACTTTTTCAACTTACGTATTTTTCTGAGACCCATGAACAGATGATAGAATAATATGACACATGGAGAATCAAGAACATAAGCATCTCTGGCATTTCTATGAATAGAGTTATTTATGGAAATTGCGTATTTGCTCGTTTCGTTTGTGTTGTATAGACCATGCCAAAAGAAAGAAGGGATAGCCTTAACATACCTGAGCCGGTTTTCTTGACAATCGCTTAAACACACGTCAATTGTGACAAAACACATAACGGCGGATCGAAGTAGGAAAAAATCTATATGATATTCTTGAGAAAGATCGCACCGTACTCCCTTAGAATCGCAAATCTCACGCTTTATCGTATTATGAAGTTTCAAACGAGCTATTTGAGCTTCATCCATTAGCAAGTTTAGCATCCAAAGTTGCTGGTCTAATTCACATCCATAATGATGCAAAGTAATAAACATATCCAACTCCTAGGAGATTAAAGCTTCTCCGTGTATAATATGTCTTTCCCACTTGCCAAAATGTGTATCAATTTGTTTAGGCTTAAAGGTCATCATGGTCATGTGGTACCTTGTATTGTACTAGTCCATAAATACCGGGTATTATAGCTCGGACCGTATTTTATCCCAAATTGCAAAGCTTCGACGAAAATTATTTTCTTCGATTTGCTTACGCTCTCACTTTCACGAATTTACTTATCACTTGTTTGAAATAACATAATACTTATAATCCCAAAATAATCTCATTCCCGAACTTACGTCGATTAACTTACAACGAACTTTAACGCACAAAAATGTGGGATGTAACAGTTGTTTTGAGTGTGGGGACTTGAGTCATCTCAAGAGAGATTGCCCCAAAGTATTGAGTAGGGTCCCACAGCAGAGGTCTCAGCCTATGATGTCCGCAGAGCAGGCACACCACCTGCACAACCAGCTAGGGGTGGGACACAGTCAGCACGAGGTAATCCTAGAGGGGGAGGTCAATAAGGTGGCGTTAAGGCCCGTTGCAACACATTTCCAGCCAGGCCAGAGGTATTTGCTTCCGATACCGTGATAATGCAATCTGAATTAATAAGTGAATACTACTAAAGCAAATAAAATAGAAGCGAAAATATAACATAAATTCAAAATCCAATAATAGAACCTAGAAATTAAAATAGCAAGTCAACAAAGCCAAGACAAATTTATCTGTTTAGTTGAACTCATGGAGGGAAGATCTTAGGATAGTACATAGTAAAGACAAAATCAATAGCAACAATCTGCAAATTTCACATATGAATAGACATTAATGGAGACTCATGCTCAAACAATTAATATAGTGCAAAATATTACCTTTACCACGGACGACGATAAAAGTTTGAACCTGGTGGTGGATTACACTCAATCATCAACTACTACCTATAATAATTTCAAGTTCAACATAAGAGTTAGAGGCATGGATGAAATCACTACTTTCAAATAATAATGACAGCATTCATATATTGCAAAATTTCATGTTGTTGCATGGAATATCCTTGTGTAGCAACATCAACAACGGTTATCGGTACATTGCACAACTAGACACGAAGAGAAAATAGCTTGGACAGAACACCAATGAATAATATACTTGACCATCAAAACGTGGATAAATAGTCGAACTTACAACTAGCAAGACAAATTAAGCAAAATCATCCTAAAATCAACTTTCTCTGTAAGTAAAATTATTATTCAAAGACAAGCTTGTGACTTTTAAACTGAAGAATTTATCCACCAAAATGGACCTGAGTATTATATCTTCCAACTAATTTCAACTTTTCCTTCTCTTTTTTCTTTTCTTTTCTTTCTCTTCACCAAACGTGATATGTAACAGGATCATTCTTCACAATAAAAAGGCAATAGAATCATTACCCAAAACTGAATTTTGTAGCTCTCCTGTGCTCCATCATCATATAATCTTTTTTCTCTGTCATGAAAACAAATTTGTAAGTTCAGTAACGTTTCAGAATATGGACAGACAATAGACATTTACAATCTGGGAAAATGTCAAGCTCATACAACAGAAATTAGCACCAATCATGCTTCATCTCCCAAATCTTTAGCTTCTTCAATTCATCAAATACTCGCAAATCTAACAAACCAAAGTGCATCTTTCCAATATTAAGATTAAAGAATCTTCAAATCAGTAGCCAAAATCTATGATCCAACTTATACACTAAGAGCAAGAATCAACATCAGACCAATTAAATCACTAACATAGCTCGTACTATTTGTTAGGGAAAGCTTAGAAGTTCCAATCTCCAAAAACATCTGAGAAGTATTTCAATACATCTTTCAAATTGTTTGAATCCTAAAAACTCAATATTTAGGGCTTTAGAAAACGAAGATATTTCAAAATTTAACCAAAACAATTGTTCAGCGTGTTCAAGCAATATCGAGATTGTTAAACAGCAAGCATATCAATTTCATAAATGTAGAAATTATGGCGTGTCACTGCCCGTATTGGTATAGTTTAGAAATAAAACAGATTAGATTTGTGTCTAACTTTTATAAAAAATCATATACCTTTTGGACTAACATATAAGGCTCTCAAGCCATAAAATATACTGCATTAATGCTCCTTCCTACCAAAAAATCAATGGGAGACTTGTGGTTAGGGTTTAAAATATACCTTTGACCTGTTCATAGCAATCAAAAGAGCAAATATTTGTGTAGTGATGAGTTGATCATTTTCAGCGAAAAGATGATGGTGGGAGGAGTGGTAACATCAGCATGAGCCGATGGATCGAGATTAAGCGGAGGAGGAGGAATATGGTATGGCTATTCAAAATTGATATAGGGGTACACTCCTTGCCCCTTTCAAAGTTGGGGGAATAGTAACGGGGGGAAATTTTGGTGGGGAAACTTTAATGGTGAGATTTCTAGTGAAACTTTATTGAGAAATTTTAGAGCACACTTCAAAAATGTTGCTTTTAGGATTAAAAATGGGAACGCTTTGTAAGTATTGTATTACAAGTGGCCAGCAGTTGCTAATTATTTTTATTATTTGGCAACACTTCAAGTGCGTAGCCTTTTTATTGTAAAGGCACACTTTCAAAGCGCTGCCTAAACTTCTTTGCCAAAAGTTCTCCTCAAAGGTTACCCTTGAAGAGCGTTCCCTTAGATATTTTTGGCAATACTTTTTAAGCGTTGTCTCAAATTATTGTAGCCTTAATTAGACCAAATTTGTTTTAGTCGTATACGCAAAAAGTGGTGTGTACCTACGATAACGGCGTTCTCTAGCATGGCTTCAGGTCTTCAGTTGGCGTAGCTACGCGAAGCAGCGTAGCTAATTTCATAAGCTCTCCAAAATTTCATATTCAATTCCTCAGCGGTGTAGCTACGCAAGAAGGGAGCGTATACGCACATCTTGACCTTATCTTCCTTCATTCTCTCAACACTTTTAAGCTTCAATTCACAATTCTCATGCATGTTTTTGATGCTTTTGTTTCCTCTAGGCTCTTCCATTACTTCGTATCCCGAAACTCATCATTCAAAGCATAATCAATCAATTCCGACAAATGGGGCATAAAGCTGTATCAAAACACTAGAAAAATTAGCTAAAAGCTAACTTATCAAGGGTCTTTTCCACTTTCAAGATATTAACACTAGTACTATTGAGCTGTTACATTGAACAATAAGCAACTTAAAATTTTCAAAATTGCTTCACATACATTTGATGAGCTTAATGCAATGACTCCAAATCGCAGTTCATTTCTCTACATCATCGGCTTTTCCATTTGATTCCCCTCCCCACATTTTTATCCTCTTTGCTGCAATAGAAGCCTGCAATTTACAAAAAGGAAAATCCAAAACTAACTGTGTTACAAACTTGGATAGACAGTGAATCCCAATATGTACCTGGGAATTAGACCCAAGTAGTTGATGGAAATGTGATGGTTGAGCCTAGTAGATATGACCGTTTTGTATAAGACGCCTAAATGTTATCTTATAAAGACAATGCTATAAATGTATTCGTCATATGTTCGTTTCTCAATAGTATGGAAATATATTTTAATAGTTTTAGACAACTACACGTTGAAATTAAAAGGATTTGGACAAGGAAATTGGGACACATTTCCCAGTCTTCTCTAAATCCTTTTTGCAAATCAAACTGGGGCAATTTGTTTTGAGTTTGGGCATGGAGGAGGGAACCGATACAATTGAATGATCACAAAGGAAGAATGGATGCATAAATAGTTTTCAGCCAGTATATTTTATTTACCCTATTTTAGTACCTTAATGATGAAAAAGAAAAAATTTACCTTATTCTTTAGGTTAATTCAACTTATTATGGATATATTATATGTAACTACCTTTATGTGATGTGTCAAGATTGTTTGATTTATCCAGCAACGCAGAAGGGATTAGTATTTTTCAAGTTACCTCTTTGTTCCAGTTGGTTTTGTAAACTATCCAAAACAAGGCGAAAGTTTGAATCACAGTTCCGCTAACCATTCCATACCAAATACCCTGACATCATAAACAAAAATGAAAATAATATGTTAAATAAAAGGACCACTCAAAACAAGAAAAAATAATTAAGTAGGTTTACAAAATGACATGTTACACTTACTTGGACACCCATATTGAGCTTATACCCTAATAGTAAACCCAGTGGAATACCAAACACATAGTAACAAGCAATATTGACATAAGCAACCAAAGCTTGCCATCCTGCTCCAATTGCCACACCAGATAGAGCTGGTTGAATATTGTTAACCACTATACAGAATGCTAGTAATGGTGTTAGCTCATAGACAAGACGCTTGACTGATTCACTCTCCGCGAATAAGGTAGGATATTGCCTTCGAAAGACGAGTAAAAAGACCGATAGAAGAAGGCCAATCAAGAATGAGGATACTACCACCACCACCACTGAAAATTTAGCCGCTCTTGGATGAGCTGCCCCAAGTTCATTTGACACTCTCACGCTGAAAATTTTGCATATTATTTTTCATGTCAGAATGTATAAGAGAACGACTCTTGTCTTACTACTAATATAGTCCTTTTCGATTTATGTCAAACCTTATAGCTGCATTGCATCCAATAGCTGCCATCACCGCCCATCCCAATATGTTCATACTGCAGTTTTTGACAACTCTTAATTCTTTAGACAAAGATGAAATAGAAGCTATTACATATACCTATAAAAATGAACTAGAAGCTATTACACGATCGTTCAATTTGCAATTGAAAGTGGAACCCCGCCCGCAGATAAGGGGCAGCTTAATAGAATAGTTGAGATAAAGTCAAATTTTAATTAGAGACCTTAAACTTGGATATAAAATCCATATATTGTTTATTCCTATTTATATTATTTGAAGTCGATCTACTGAAATGATGTGGTTATAATGAAAAGAGACAAGTTCACATCAAATGTTTGGGAAGATTAATCTGTCTTCAATGATAAGCAAGTGATTACTTAAATAGACATTAAATAATATTAAATTAGTAAGTTTTGAGGCTCCAAAAAAAGCAAGGATTTTAAGAGCTTTGGGGTTGGGCCGCCCTGCCCACAAAACAAAACTCTTTCCAAATTGAAGAAGTGAGAAAGAAAAGTCAAAAAGTTGCATCTCTTGTCCATATTATTACTCCCTCCCAATCTACGTAGCACACTAACACTATTCAAATTTCTAAGAGTTACACTTTTTGATTTTGACCATTAATTTATACATAACATTTTAAATTTTTTCAAAATAAAATTTATATTTTTTCAAACTACATAAAAATTTATTGTAAGTCAAAATAATAAACAATTGTAAATATTCAAAAAGCATATGAAAATATTGCGATAAATAAAAATCGTCTGACTCTTGAAATTAAGACATCACCATATAAATTGGGACGAAGAGAATACTTATTAGAACCAATAATGGCCGGTATTGAAAATTAAAGCAATTTGAAATATAAGTTGCTATAAAGAGAAATAATGTTCCAGATATTTTTGAAAAATAAAGAGAAAAATATAGTGTACCAAAAAGTAAGAGTGAAACATAGTGAGAGGGAGACAAAAGTAAGAGAGTGAAACATAATGAAAAGGACAAGTAATAATTTTTGTTTCTAGAGACGTACTAATCCGAGATTACAAAGATATTGAAATGTCAAATAGTCTTTTCTTGGATTGAAATAAATAAATCATTGATCATCTCATGAAACACGCCTAAAGTTAGCTTTCTCTCCGCTAATCTTAATCATTCCCTTCCATTATTTCACTATGGCGTTCTAGGAGGGAGGCCCTTTCCAAACTATAATGATAGTTTTTGACATTATAATTACTCCCACTAGTAGTGTATGACTTTTACAAGATTTTTGTCTCTAATTACTTTCCACCAACTCCAAAGGAAAGGACAAGTGACGGACCGTTGACTCAAAGTATTCTTGTCAAGCCGCCCCATTTATAAGTTTTTATCGTCTAATATACACAGCCACCAAAGTAGAATAATATAAACAATAGAAAAGGAAAATATATGACACAAATTAAATAACTATGGTAAATAATAAAGAGTTTAATGTGTTCAAAATATGGCCAGACAATAAGCATCAAGAGAGCAATTCGACACTTACCAAATGGACAAGGCATCAACAGCGACTTCTGCGTTCTTTAAATAACCAGCGAAGAGGACCAACGCCATAAAGTACCAAACTTCCAGGCTGAATATTTATTAATTAGAAGCCAAAAATCAGATCAAGATAAACATAGTGATCAGAAACAAGAGGACCACTAATTTAAAAGGTAAAACTATCTTTCCATTAAATTAAGATCCCTTAGCTGAAAACTTAGACCAAAAGCTTAATAGGTAACTACTGTATGTTTCGTATATGATGATCCGATCTTAGTATATTTTGTAACGTGTTAATGGTTACCTTAAATGGCATACGTAAATTAAATGGCATTACTATGAGAATATCTTAAAAGTTACTAAAGGTAACTAGCCATAATTATTGAAACATGTTAAAATTAAATAAAATTTCTTTTACTGGGTGGATGAATAAAAGAAAATCTTTTTCCAAATATAATAAAACCGAAAATTAGGCACCACTAAAAGCTGTTCGCAATAAAATCAAAGAAAATGGAAGGTGGATTACCCACCATAACATGACAGCTGACGCAAGAGATAATCTAACGAAGCCCCATAGATTATGGAAAGCCTTCCATGAGAAACCTGACCAAGCTTGTCCACAAGTCCCACTAAATATATATAGCAGCTGCGCCACCACTATGAACCACCACGATGAGTTCAGCACCACCGCGGCGCCGACGAGCCCCCACCCAAGTTTTAGCATAAATAACCAGCTGAAAAAAGTATGCAATACCAAAGCTATTGCTGCAATCCATGCCATGACCATAATTTTGCTCTGTGACTGTATAGTAGATTTTCGGAGCACAGACATAAATATATGTGTGAAAAATCACTAATATTCTAAATAAATATTAAATTTTGAACTCATAATTTCAAAAAGTATATATAATAAGTTCAATAAGAAGAACTTAAAAATTCAACCATCAAATTGAATCCTGAATCCACCCATACCTGCAAGAACTTGGCGATTGGAAAATTCATGGCATATGCATAAAGTTGAGGAATCATATATAGCGCCATTTTCCCTGCTTCCCGTGATATGTCCTCTGTTTGTCCGATTAATCTCAGAAATGGCGCCGCAAAAATGTACAGTACCATTAGAATTACTGCTGTTGTATTAAGAATAACCCATGATCTTTGCATGTATACTCCTAGCATGTCAATTTGTCCTGCTCCAAATGCTTGTCCACATAGTGTTTCTAACGCACTTCCCATTCCCAACTGTCCAAACAAAAGAACAAAAAAATGACCATCAATTCAAAATTCAAACAAATTAGATCAAAATATTTATAACTAAATCAAGAACATGGTTGTATAATTCCTTT